CTTCCACTTTACCTAAAAGCAGTGGAAAAATATCCTTGGGTGAGGATTAAAAAAAAAAAAAAAAAAAAACCCCACCTTTTTACTTGAGTTTTACTTAAAGCAGAATTTTGCATTTACAGTCTTTTAATTTTTAAATCATTTTCTCATATGCATAAAATTGACAGATAAATATAACTAAGCATTCTCAGGAGTTAAGTCAAATAATAGACTTATTTTTAAATATTTCTTTTATAAGGACATTACAAGGTCTTCAGGAGTGAATATGTGAAGTCAGTATTTTCCGGACTTTATAACTTAGATTCTGTAGCAAAGATCTCAGGTTAACCAAAATTGTTTGTGTACAAATAGTCTGAAAGTTGCCTGTTGCATTGATACATTTGATGACATTGATAATTTCATGCAAAATTTCTCTGTATGAAAACAATAACACAAAATAGCATTTTTAATCAAGTATTTTTGAAAACTAAGTAGCAGTAAGCAAGTTCTGACAATCCTTAATGCATACAGTTAGTGCACATGAAATTTTGACAGTCTCTGTTCCACCTGAACCAAATACCCTTGTCAAATGAAAACCATAGTAACATTTGTCAAATAGGATATATAGAAAAGTCATGAAGCCTTTAGAGTTGTTGATTCCTTACACAAAGTATTATATTACCTTGAATTATAGATTAGTCCTAAACATTTAAGGAGTTATACTGGTATTTATTTTCCCAGATCTCTGACCAGAATTTCTGTAAATCAACATATGAAGAAGGAAATACAGGAAAATCAAGAGGTTTGTTTTGAATTCCTTTTTTAAAAAATTTACACTCATATCGCTGTTTTAGACTTTGGATCTTTAATTTTCATACAAAAAAGAAAATGTTCATTTATAGTTTTTAATTATTAAAAGTTTGTTTTTCCATTTTTGTACTGTCTACATACAGTCCATAATTCTCGCCAGTTTTTCCTGACATATGTTCTGCTTACCTGCTTATTCACCCTCTACTCCAAACCTTTTGCCCATGTAATACGGTTTTCTTCAGAGGATAGACTAAAGAATATGAGTTAATTATTGCTTCTCATAATTAGTTTTGCTTAAAAACTTGACCTAGTCAAGTTTAGACCATTGGAACAGTGCTAGAATCCTATTACCTGTAGTTCACAATTGATTGGTAGTTGGTAAGATTCTTCCAAATGGTTTCTTAAATAACCTTCAGACCCCAAATGATCCTAATTGTGTTAATACTTGTGAAGTGCTTACAACATTGCCTGGCATTATTACATAGGACTAGCTTGGCTTTAAGTAATACAACACCAAATGCACAGGGCCCCCAAAAGTAGTTTAATTTTCTTAGATAAAAAGAAGCCTTAAAGTAGGTGGCTGCAGGCATAGTTTTATGCTTTTATGGTTGCAAAATGGCTCCCACAGCTCCAGACTTACATGAATGCAAAGCAGAGGAGGCAGGAAGATGGTATCACACATTCATCCTCACTAAAGCCTTCCTGGAACACTTCAGCCAACTTTGACTTTCATCTCATTGGTCAAAATGTTGTGATGTGGCTATCCCTAGCTGCAAGGAAGGGTAGAAAAGTCAGTGTTTACTTTCCTAGTAATTGAGGCAAGCGGAGGAGAAGTGAGGGGATGGGGGTTAGGAATGGTGCTGGATTAGCCAGCCAGCAGTGCCTGTCACACTGAGACAGGATCAGTGCTCAGTAAATGTCAGCTGTTCTGATGGTGACAAGCACAGTGATGAAGAAGTAGATGCGTAGTTCATAGGACATGGGTGTTAGGAACCATAACACATCATCCACACCTGAGGTGTTCTTTATGACCCCTAACAAATTCTTGTCTTTCAAAACTGAGTTGTGGTGTTACTCCTTTCTGTAATTCTCCTAATTACTCTTACTATTTCCCTTTCATAGACTCTTGTTAGTGTCTCAAAGGGAGGACATTAGTGTAGTGTGTTTATAGGTTTGGGGTAGGGGTATCTCTGTTCAAGTGGTTTAAGTTGGGTGTTAGTATTTGCATAAAGGAGCACCAGAAGGATGAACAAAAAACTTTGGGGGGGAAAAGTAAAACAGTTACCCCTATGGGCCAGGGATAGGGGCTGGAGACAGGGTAGAAAAAGGTCCTGGAATGAGCATAAGAATTCTCTGTGTATAGGGGTGTCTTTTTGTTGTTTTGCTTTTTCTTTGTGTATAGGCTTTTATTTAGTTTTGACTTGGGACTCATGCAAAGATTATTCCAAAACTATGACTGCTAAAGTTATATAAGTGAATTTTAGTTTGGTTTCAAGTACAGCACGTTTCCCTTCGAAGTTAATGATTCTTGTTAATTTACTCAGAGATCAGCCAGAATCTGCTTTTGGTGATAATTAAATAAGTTAATCCAATGCTTGTGTCTTATTGTTTACTGTAAGAGCTGTTATGTTATATTGCATGACATTTTTTGTTTAGAAGGAAGAGGAAAAAATGGAGACATGATCAGGTAGCCTGGTAACTTTCTAGTTTTGTGTCAGCAGTGTAAACATTTAAATTAGATAGTTACACAAAAATCAGGCGAGATACTTAAATATAAAACCTAAATAAAGGATTACACCTAATCCAAAAAGAAGTTCACACCTCTTCTAATTATGTCAACTAATTACTTAGATTGTATGAGAATTTTACAGTTCCAGAAAAATTCTCTTGATTAGAATAACCTCTCCAAAAGTTCTCTGTAAAACATTCTTTTAGAATTTTTTTTCACATCCTGAAAAAACCCCAACCTTCCTATATTAAGATTTATATCTGATTTGTTCAAATTTTAAATTCAGAATGCATATAGTTTTTGTTTAGGGACCTCCAGACATGTGTATAAACCAGTTTACCATTATAAAGCTCAACCAGTCATCTGAGATCCAATCAGTTGGAAATGGTTAGCTTCAGGTAATGGTTTAGCTCCATTGGCTGTTAAAGGGATCTGTTGTAGGACATTTGTTCCCTCTTTTCTTGAAGTCATATTTTTCAATGGGGACTTATATTTCTTTCTGCTAAAAGGCTAAGAGCACTCCCAGCTTAATTCCACATTAAATAAAAAGTCTGTGTATATTTTTTGGACCTTAAAAATAGTGAGCATTCCAAGCCCCCAATCCATATGAAGATAAACCAGAGGCAATGAATTCTTAAGGAAGACATAACCAAGGTGAGATCAACACATTTCTGGGCTGGTTCTGCTGGGTAATTTGTTTTCACGGAGAGTGGAGCATTTCTTTGTGTGCACAAGGCTATCTCTAACCCTACACCGTGCCCTCGGTGAGCCTAAGGCCTTGCTTCCTGTCCTTTTGAGACTAGCCTTTAGAAATCCAAGCTTTAGGGACCTAAAATTGTTCACATTCTTGGACTTCTATTTCTACTACTTCTCTGCCCTTAGGTGAAATCTTTACTTTTAAAAGCTAAACCATTCATTTAGAGGGCATTATTAATATTTTAATCTAGCAATTTTTGATATTTCCTTTAGAAGGAGTATTTTGGGAATCTCTGGTCCATCATATTGCTAAAACTGAACTCTTACCTTTTGATTTGAGAAAGACTGCCGGAAATCATACACTCAGGATAATTTGCCAGGACTTAAGGCTACCTCTCTGAGGGGAAGGAGAAAGAATTTGTCAGTAGATTGATAGCATTTCAGCAATTAAATTCAATTTATTACCCTTTTTGAGCATCTTCTTTGTTCAAGGCACTGTGTTTGGCTTAAGTATTCCTGAGGGAATTAGTTTAGGATGGGTTGTGTGCTTGATATGTTTTCCACTTCGAATTGAGTTGCCTAAACCAAATGAAGTGCTGGGAGAGCCTGAGACAGAGCTAGAGACAAATCAATATTTTACCTATGAACCTTCGCATGTTAGGCTTTAACCTCTTGGCAGTATTCTGCATAAATCCAGTGGAAATATTTTCTTTCCTGTTACATGTTTAGTTCCGCCTCTCCCTTCTCTGTATGTAACTCACCTGCCATGGTGAGTGGTAAACACAGAAAAATTTACCTCTGTCACGTCTTCTCCAAATCTCTTTAAGTTATCTTCTTTGTCCGTCTTTCTAGAATAATTTATACAGATCTCTGTTAGGTCAGTTATCATGTGATCTTTTCCTAAACCAATTTACCTACACTGATAATTGTAATATAAAGGCTTTATTTGTGAGTACTGAATATGTGACTGGACACAGGCATAGGTTATACTTAAACTTTATAACACACCAGTGAGATAGATGTAAGTACTCCATTTTACAGATGAGAAAACTGAGACTTATGGAAGCTAAGTAAATTTCCCCAAATTTTCCCACTATTAAGTAGCAAGACTAAGATTTAAAGATCTGACTACCTCACGGTGATCTTAATAACTGCAGTACTGGCAAGGACAATACCTTTTTTACTTTTATTACTACCCCAGTGCCTGGAGTTATTTCTAGCACACAGTAGGCCCTTGAGAAATACTGAATGAAAAGTAAAGGTAGTAAATATTGAAACACTGCTTTAATAGAAACCTTTATGAATTTAGAGTGATCTTGAAATATTTACACATACATCTAAATTTTGAGTCCTAGAATATTAAGGAAATGGAATGTGCCAACTATCAAATTCTAATTGTGTAAGTGCACACATACACACTCACACTATATATATATATATATATATATATATATATGTATGTATATATATACACACACACACATATATAATAATATAGGAGTCAAGTAGTCATTGTAGCATTAGAACTGTAATATCACATATTGCAAAATCAAAATATTCAAGTATTTCTGTCTCAGACCTGTCATCAGGTGCCCATCACTGGATTAGGATGGGCCAACTACTACCCACCTGTGAGTCAAATCTGGCCTGCCACCAGTTTGTATAAATAAAAGTTTTATTGGAAGATAGTCATGCCCCTTGTTTATATCTTGTCTTTGTCTGCTTTTGTGCTACAAGGACAGAGTTGAGTGGTTGCATCACAGATATGGCCTGCAAAGCCTAAAACATTTACTATCTGACTCTAAAGTTTGCTGACTCGTGACATTGGTCGCTATTATTATGTGACTTGGTTAACTATTTATTATTCTGCTCTATTTCAAGGATCTTCGCAGCAGATTTGAAATTCAGCCAGGTGATGCGTGTCTGTATATAAATGGACTTCGTGTTGACATAGATGCTCCTGATCCTTTTAGGTAAGTATTGAATTATTGATATAAACTAACTGTGGCTTATATAAAGGTAATATTGCCCTGAACTTAGTATTTGTCAAAATTCAAATAATCACTTTAAAGGTAAAGCAAATACATATTTTTTACTGAATAAAACACCTCTGTTATTTCTGTAGAATACTCTCTTAAGTGTCTTAGAATGTCAAAACTGGGAGAGAACTTGGAGACATTTGTTGAGAAAACTGAAGTTTCTGAATTTTAGACCTAATACTTATCTCATTCGTTGAAACTGTCTTTCATTGAAGAGGAGATTTATCCTTTAGCAAGGAAGTTTCTTGGCACTGGGCTGAGCAGCCAGGGAGCTCTACCCTCCAGAAAGGGACTGAAAGCATGAGGCATTTCTTCAGAAAAAAGAAATTAACAGGAAGAATTTAAAGTGCTTGAATCTGCCAGAAAGGAAATTTGACATTATAGAATTCAAGGTGTTTTTTACTTAGGTCAAAAAAATTCTTTTTCTAGGGCAGAATTAGATAGTCTTTTATTCATCATGGCCACTGGCCCATAAATCAGTCATAAGCCAAAAAAAGAAATCAATTGAATTTATTTTATTTTTAAAGAGAAGCATAAAAGTACTTTAAAAATTAACATTTAGAATATGAAGTAAATTTTTTGTGAGCATAATACTTTACTTCAGACATTCATGTGTTTTTTTGTGTGTTTTTTGTTTTTTTAAGTATGTTTTTATTGATTTCAGAGAGAAGAAGGGAGAGGGAGAGAGAGAGAGAAACATCAGTGATGCTGATTGGCTGCCTCCTGCACGCCCCTGCTGGGGATCAAGCCCACAACCTGGGCATGTGCCCTGACTGGGAATCAGACTGTGACCTCCTGATTCATGGGTCGATGCTCAACCACTGAGCCCCACCAGCTTGGCCAGACTTTCAGTTTTAATACAGTTGAATATATTTTATTAAACTTAAATAATTGTTTATTATATTTTCTTACCAGTTTGACAATATATAGGAAAATACAGGAAAGACTGAGAAGTGGAGTAGGCTTTTCTCTTTATTTAGTTGAATCCTTGGACCTAGTATTGGGAAAGTGATAACCTAAGATACATAGGGTAAGTACTACGCTCAGAAAGAGTAAAACAGTTGTTAGCTTCTGGCCTGTAAACTTTAGAGGGACAAAAGTTACATCTGTGCTCACAGTGAAACAGGTTTTTAAAAAGCAGAGAAATGGTAGGTAGGTTGTGGAAAGTTACTTTATCAAGGTATGGGAAATTTTCATAGCGGGAACATTTTAATGTATAATTTAGAAAGGCTGTAGGTTATTCAACAAATATATCCCCCTTGGCTCTTTCACCTGGTAATTAGTGAACTGCAAAAAGTGTGATACATTTTTGTTCCTCATTGACATGATCAATAGTTGTAGATACTATAATTCCCTTAGAGGAAAAGAAAATATATGAGGATATTTTTATCTTATGACATTTTTAGTACAAAATAAACAAAGAGGTTATCCGAAAAAAGATCAGAACATGCAGGTCAAATCAGTGTGAAGAGGTTGATGAATGGAAGAAAATGATACAGGAAAGAGGAAAGGAAGAAAACTGTCATATTACTGAAGTTATATCCTAAATCTAGAGAGAGGTGCATTTGGGGTTAAAAAGCTGGGGGGAAGGAATAAGTAATTATTTTGCACTTCCTACCTCCAGTCTCTCATTGCCTTTTGGGGTTGTGGGAACTGATCCTACGCCCACGACCTAGCCCTTCTTCCTCTGACCCTGGAGATAAACCTCTATGGGTTAGGTCAGCATTGGTTCAGTCAAGGCTGTGCCCAAGCCTCTCTCTCACCCCCAGAGAGGTTAAGACAGTAGGAGGCTGTGGTAGTGAACAGGGAGAAAGGCAGGTAGGACTGAGTGAAGTTGAGGATTTCATAAATGTTGCCTTATAGATCTACGTTAGAGCCATTAATACATTTTTATCTCTAAGCAGTCCCCTCAGCCACATACTTGACCAGACAGAAACTGGTACAAAGTGGGTCTTACTCATTTTGATAGCCAACCTGTATGTGCTTGAATGGTGTCACTACAAATAACTGCAAGAAAGAAGTAATAAAGTTGTCTTGATATCCCCACTTGTGTAAATTTTTCTGAATTGTAATGAAGTTATCTGGATCAGTTATTTTCACCTCTTGGTAAATACGTATTTTTAATGCAAGCAACATTAAGATTCAATATTATAAAATCAATTCAGTATTAAAATTCAATTTAGTCGTGAGTGCCTACTATCTATAGAAACTGCTTGATATTTGGGGTGTAGCCTGAGCGAAATTCACAGTCTAGTGGAATAACTTATATTAGATAATTACAGCGTGATAAGGTTTATAAAAGATAAAGTGCAGTGCTTTGGGACTTTATAACTCCAGAGATTTAAATGAGTTTTTGATGGAATGTAGGGACAATGGATGTCAGATTTCTCCATGGAAGTGGTATTTAAGCTAAGACTTAAAGGATGAATCAGGCAAATGGAGGAATGGAGCATTTGCAAGCATGGCATATTTGAGAAAATGGAAAATCTAGTATGGACAGACTGGAGAGAGGAGGAGATGGAGGAAACTGAAGTCACTCACGTGGGCAAGGATCAGATATGGAACCAGGTTTCAAATTACGGGCTTCTATCTCAAGGACAGGAAGAGCCAGCGGAGGGTTCTAAGCAAATCTAAAGATAGTAGCTATGTATTTAAAAGAGAAGCATGAGCAATTATTTAGAAATCCAGAGATACAAGGAGTTTTACTGATAAATAAATATAGCATATTTAAAGAACCCAAATTTTTTTTTTAATTAATATACAGAATTCATGATTTAGGAAGAGCCAGGAGGAAACTAATGCTTATTGAGGGCAACTGTGTGCCCAGCAATAAATTAATTCAATATTAATACCCTATAAAATGATTATGACTGTTCTTTTTATATAGATGGGGAAACAGACTCGGAGAGATCTCACACAAAGATAGGGACACAGCTAGCAAATAGTAGCAGGATTGGAAATCTCATATCTCTTCCAGTGTACCTTGTAACTAACTTTTCTATTAGTGGATTTCCTAGGAAACTAAGTTGAGGTAACAAAGATGATAACTATAGCTGTAAAAACCATGGAGAATATTTAAATGCTATTACATAAAAAGTATCTGATCAGTAAGCATCATAAAATTGGCAATGCAATCCAAATTTTTTATTTTATAAATGAGAAATTATAGACTAAAGAGGTTAAGAACTTCAAGAAGCCACACATGGAGTAGTGCTCCAGCCCAGACTAAATCTTATTATTAGATTAGTGACTTGTGATATACAAGCTCTTTTTATCACACTCACCTACTAATAGATTTTATTTTGGGGGGTAAAAAGTTTCCTTTGTAGAGCAGTGAGCAGAACTATCTAGGATACAGTCATGCAGAGCTGAAGTTACACAGGTCAGCTTCAAACATTTAAGAGTTCACATATCAGATCTGTACTTTTTAAAATGTGGATCTCTGTAGTTCTCCCTGAAAACTGTATTCTAAAATTTATATATTGCTTTATTCTGATTCCATTCATTTGTGAAAGTGGAAGTCAGTAGGGTTATTTATTGATGTTATTTTTAGCAGTAATACTTTCTTTCATGTTTAAGAGCTCTCAAATTATATATGTAATTAGAAATTTTAATGTTTATTCTAAACAGATGTGAACTTTCATGCTTTAATAGGACTTTCTCTGTGCTAAAATTGTATATTTTAGGTCATGCTTGATCTTGTTTTTGTAGTAGATTTATCAAAAGAGTAACATAGTATATTTTTCCCTTCATTTTTGGCTTGCTCAGGGGTGAGCATATTCTTGCTTCTTAGGTAAGGAATACAATCAATATACCTTGTTCCTTGTTGTCTTATCTTTTAAATAAGATTTTATTAACCACTAAAAACAAAAACAAAACCCTGAACATAACTTTAACCTGGATAACTAATTAGAACTCCTTGCCTTATTTGTTAATGAGTTTAATTTAAATATATGTTTTCTTGTTATTAATAAAAATACCAGTGAAACTAGTTTCTAATGCTTGAGAAAGCTATAAACTTTAAAGGACTTTTTAAAATGTTGGCAAATCAAAATAAAACTTATCTCTTTTATTTAAATGTGAAGTATTTTGGATATGCTGAAGCTAGAAGGAAAAATAATGAATGGCCTTCGCAATCTTGGGATGAGCAGAGAACATATGACCGAATTTTTAAAATTAAATTCACGTGTTTGGAACAATAACTATATATTAGATATTAGGCATTCTTCAATAATGGTAAGTGCTCATGTAATTACTGTTTTAAAACCTTTAGTAGATTTAAGACTTAATATAAAACCAGATATTGTCAGGCTTTCAAATAAATTTAAGGAATTTGAAAGAGGTTGTATAGCAGAACTCAGAAGAGAAAGTAAAAATACTGATTCATCCCCTCTCACTCTTGTGTCTTCTTTCCCCATCCTTGTATTCTCTGCTTTTCCTCATGAGAATCCCTACTCACTAGTTCAGTATCCTTTCTAGCTTTAAAGGTAAAAACAAAACAAACAGCAATAAATGTACCACATGAACAATAGCAACAAAAAACACCAAATAGTTATATCTGAGGAATGTAAGATTGCCACCTTAATATAATGATTGCCTAGAGCATTTTCAGTGCGCTTCTCAATTCTGGTCTGTGTAATTCTGCCTAAGTGAAGGTTTTGAAATCTGATCACATCGCTATCCCTTGCTTAAAGCACAGAAACAGTCCTTAGTATAGCCTATGAGGCTATAAATGGTCTACTCCTTCAATTTCTTAGACTATGAAATAGACTTTTCCCCACTATCCCTTATCTCGTGCTTGAAAAGCAAATTTTCCTCTTTCTACCCGTTCAACTTTTTTTTTTAGACTTCAACTCTAAACATATTTCCTGAGAGAAGCTTTTCTTAACTATCCTAGATGATTTTTTAAAATACACGTTGTGTCAAGGAGTCCCCAGGAATACCATCAAGTTTGGTGATTGCTAAAAGGATTCAAAAAGCCTAGAAATTGTTATACTTGTGGTTATGATTTATTAGAGCAAAAGAGGACAAAGTAATAGCAGAGGGAGAGAGGGTGGAGTCCAGAGGAAACCTGAATAGCCTTCCCACTTATAAATTTAGTCCACCATCTAAGATTCGTGGAATGATAGCAGCACCATGAACATCAAAGCCCTCAGACTCAAGAAAAGCCACAGAAGTTGTTAATTAGTTACCATGATAGAACACTGACTAACTTGTTCCACATTTATTGTAGCTGTTTTTACTACTCATTAGACCATATTCTTTCATTGGCTAGATTCTACTTCTATTTGATTATCTTTTAGCTCCATAATAGATGACTTTTCTAAAAATGTTTTATCAGAAAAAGGAATGTCCATGTTATAATCTTAATAGTTTATGCTTTTTATTTTAAGCATTTATACTTTTTAACATTTGTAGAAGAATGCTGGGAGTGTGAGTCACACTGAGAAAATGAGGGTAGTAATTTTCAAGGCTGTTCTGGAACTAAGAAATAGATCAGCCCTAGCCGGTTTGGCTCAGTGGTTGGAGCCTTGATTCCTGGTCAGCAGCAGTACTTCGGTTGCAGGCTTGATCCCTTGCCCAGTTGGGGTGTGTGTAGGAGGCAACCAATCTATGTGTCTCACATCCATGTTTCTCTCTCTCTGTTTCTCTCCCTCCTACTCTCTCTAAAAAAATCAATGGAGAAAAATATCTTAAGAGTGAGGATTAACAAACAAATGAAAGAAATAGATCAATAAAGGAACTTTGCAGCTCCATTTATAAAATAACATACTGGTCCTGTACCAGTGACAGTAGAGGACAGTCACACCGTGTCAGAGAAGCAGCCCTACTGCTGTTCCCATTGTGCCCACTCTTTGCAGAGTCACATTTCCCTTGCCTCAAGTTTTCTTCTACACTGCTATAAAGTCTCCTATGCTCTTGTCCAACTCTTAGACACCTTCAGGAGGTATTCTTTTCATTATTATTATTATCATCATCATCATCTTCCTCGTCACCCAAGGACATTTTTTCCATTGCTTTTCAGAGGGGCGGGGGAGGGGGGGAGAGAGAGAGAGAAAGGGAAACAAACATCGATGTTAGAGAGACTCATTGATTGGTGCCTCCCACATGCCACCCTGACTGGGGCCAGGGATCGAGCCTGCAACCGAAGTACATGCCCTTGACCAGAATTGAACCCCCAACCCTTCAGCCCACAGCTGACACTATAACCACTGAGCCAGACAGGCTAGGGCGGCATTCTTTTCTAAGGTACTTCTATCTGAAAATGTAACAAAGTAATTTTTTACTGAAGGAAAATATAAAGAACATAAGATAGGCTCTTTTAATTATGAAATTCAGTGTCATTAAGTACATTTACAGTGTTGTACAACAATCACCATTATCCATTTCCAGAACTTTTTCATCACTCCAAACAGAAACTATACTCATAAAACAGTCTCTGTTCCCTTCTCCAGTAACCTCTGTTCTGCTTTTTGTCTTTATGAATTTGCCTGTTCTAAGTACTTCATGTAAGTGGAACCATACATTATTTGTCCATTTACACCTGGCTTATTTGCATAATGTTTTCAAGGTTTATCCATGCTGTAACGTGTCAAAATTTCTTTCTTTTTTAAGGCTGAATAATAGTTTAATTTTTAAAATTTATTTATTTATTTATTTTTTGCATACTATTCAGGGAAGTTTTTTGTCTCAATTTAATGCTTTTCATTTTTTACTTGGAAGGTACCTGCTTTGAATAAAAAATTATTTCCAGTACTTTATTCTTCAGATACCTTTAAAAAAAATTAACTGGCACAAAATGCAGAGTTCTGAGGTCTCCTTACTCTTTTTAACTTGGCCTGTGTTAGAGCAGCAAAATTAACTCACATAAGGTTTAATTTTGCTTCATAGCATTTGCTACCACCTAATAATGGTGTGTATTTATTTGTTTATAATTTTCTTCCAGTGGAATGTAAGCTCTACAAAAAACAAGCATCAGATCCTATTATATAGGAATCACTCAGAAAATTGATTGAATACCTTAATGACGAAACAGCTATTCATGAATGAAAGCAATACATTGCTTTTAATTCTTTTTCTCCCCCTGCATCTGTCTCCCCACTTTTTATCTTTACAGAGAAAGTTGAGTCACTGAGTTGCATCACTTTGGACCCCTGTGTTATACCTTCTCCAAAATGAACCTTGGCAGTTTATTTCTTTAAAGTTACTGAATGAAAGTTGAGTAAGAACTCAAGAGATCCCTGGTTTACCGTTCCAGGGTTTTCTGTCCAAAATAGCAGGAGTCACAATTTAAATTTTATCTAATTTAGTTGGTTGTTTCCACTCTTGCTACAATACTTCGGGTATCACTAAGGTTTTGTTAAGAGTCAACAAAAACAACCATATGATTGAATGTTTGGCTCTGTTGGATTGTAATTCATTTTCAGTCCACTGTGCCAGACCACTCACAGTGAAGGGGGCTTTGGTAATATTCTACCAAAACTATCCCTGCCCCCAGCTGCTAGTATTTTCTATCCAATTATGTTGATGATCTAGACATATTCTTGGGGTGCTTGCTTTTTTTTCTTCTTCTTCTTTAATGTTCCCAAGTCACCCTAGCCATTTGTCAGTATATCAGAACAATTCTAAGTTTTTGTTATTGTCATCGAGATGACAGTGATACGATTTAAAAAAAAAAAAAAAGGCACCGGTAGACACAGGCAGAGGATATGAGTTCTTTAACCAGGTTAAGAATTTAACTTACACCCTGGCTTGTGTGGCTCACTTGGTTGAGCATTGTCTTGTGCACTGAATGGTCACTGGTTCGATTCCCAGTCAGGGCACATGTCTAGGTTGCAGGTTCAGTCCTCGTCCAGGTGCATGCAGGATCAATGTTTCTCTCTCGCATCGATGTTTTTTTCTCTCCCTCTCCTTTCCTCTCTCTAAAATCAAATATATATATAGTAACTTGCTATCCACAATGAGTCCCAGAGTGTTATGCAAGTTTCCCTAAGTCCCATAATGATGTCTTCAATCAGTTGACCATAGACATGTGGGTTTATGGACTCTGAGTTTGATTCCATTATCTGTCTCTTTATGCCTGCACCACACTGTTTGATTCTTTTTATTTATTTATTTTTATTCATCTGTATTGTTGAAAGTATTAGATATCCTGCCTTTTTCCCCATTGATCCTCTCT